GATGGCCCAGGGCGACGCCTCAGGAACAAGGCTCGGCGTGCGCCCGGGGGGGGACGCCCCTCCTCCTCTTCCTCCCCCTCCTCCTCCTCTCTTCCTCCCCCTCCTCCTCCTCTTCTCCTCCTCCTCCTCCTCGTTCTCCTCCTCGTTCCCCTCCTCCTCTCCTCTCCTCTCCTCCTCCTCCTCCTCCTCCTCCTCCTCCTCCTCCCCCTCCTCCTCCCCCCTCCTCCTCCCCCTCTGATTTCCTGATGGCATTGGTGTTATCCGAGCACTGCCGCTTTTCCTCCCCCTCCTCGTCCTCCTCCTCTTCTCCTTTTCACCCTCCTCCTCCTCCTCCTCCTCCTCCTCCTCCTCCTCCTCCTCCTCCCCCTCATCAGGATGTGGCGAGTCCCGCGCGCGGGGGACTGGTCCAGAAAGAAAGGCACGACGACGACGAAAACGACGACGAGACGACGACGGTGGGACAGGCGGAGGAGGATGCAGACGACAACAACTAGGACGCGAGGGAGGAAGAGGACGAGGAGGATAAGGATAAGGACAAGGCCCTTGGGGGTCTAAGTCACGACGCCTACAAAAAGAGGCAGGGCCCCCTGGGTGAAAATATGGATGCAGACCCCCGTCACTGCTGACTTTCGGGGGCTGCCTGGTGCGCGCGGCCCTCTACCCTGTGGTGGTGGGCCGCTGCACCGCAGCAGTGGAACCCTGCCCTGGTGAGCGTAACTTGGACGCAGGCGGACGGGGGTGCCTCCCGGTGGAGGCGGGCCCCCGTCCGCTGAGAGCAGTCTCCCCCCACCTACTCACCACTCTCCCCACTCCTCACTGCTGGCACGATGCGAATGCAACGAAAAAAGAAGAGATGGCCTGCTGCTGGACTGGTGGAGCCCGCTTGCCTGCCAGTGCCGTGCACGTAGTAGGCCTCATTGGCGGGTCAGTGTTGACGGATGTGTCGCAGGCCAAGCGGATCCGAGGGAAACAAAGCGGACGGGCAGCTGGCTGGATTCACTGCTCACGACATGCAGCCCCGCCCCCACCCCGCCTTCTCGGCGGCCAGTGGGTCGCGGAGGCGGAGGTCCCCCCTCGGGCTCGGAGCCGTCGGCTCCGCCAGAGTGCCTGGCGGGGGTGGGGGCTGTAGCTGCAGCTGCGTCGGCAGCACCTTTACGTGGCTTCCACCCCTGGATGCTCTCGCTCGGCGTCGGGCACTTAGGGCGCTGCTGCGTGCTGCTGTTGTTCGCCTGCTGCAAGCTGCTGCGCCCGCTCTGGTCCGCCATCTCCACCTCGTCGTAGCCCCAGCCGTAGTTGCTCTCCGTCCACATGGTGTCGCAGTCCTCGAGCTCGTCGATCTGGAGCCTCTCATAGTCGAGCTCCCACGGGTATGGCCCTTTGTGGAGCCTACTCTGGCTGCCGAGGATTATCTAGCCGCCGCGGCAGTGCTTGCTGGCCTTGCTGTTCTCGTCCAGTTGCTGCCTTAGTAGCTCCGCCACGTGGGTGCGCTCGATCTCCTCGTACTGGTTCGGGCTCCTGCTGGCCGCGATCCTCGTGCGGCTCATCGTGATGCGCTCCTGCTGCTTGTACAGGCCGTAGAGGACCATCTGGTTGTGCTGGATGACGTCGTCGTACTTCGCAGTGCTGCTCCGCAGCGTCTTGTGGCACATATCCAGGCGGCACTGCATGGCTCCGAAGGCCTGGCCGCCTGGCCCTCCTCCGCGCCCAGCTGGCTTCCGCATCGCAGCCTCTTCCGTCTCAGGTGCCGCCTCTTGCGCTGGAGAGCGGGGCTCTGCCGCCGCGGCCGCCGTCCTGGCCGTCGGGCTGCGCTGCTACGCCATGCCAACAGGCCGCCGTGTCGGTAGTCGCTCCAACTAGTCCAACGCGTAGGACGACGTCGTAAACTCTGGTCGAGTCGAAAAGCCTGCGGCGAGAGGCGGACATGGCAGGGTTGGAGTCGGAGCCCGTGGCCTTGCTCCTGGCCTGGCCTCGCTGTTACCTTAGTCGGGAAGCACAACCTGGTAGGAGGGAGCGGGCGTGGGTCCGTAGTTGTGTCGGTGGTTGTGGGAGAAGGCGGGAGGTCGGGGTAATGCTGAAAGTCTTAGTCGTGCCAATTCTTGGTACGCATTGTCATGGTTGGTCCTGGTTCGGCTTCTCTTGTGTCTCCTACGGCTCCGTAGTGGTAATTCCATGTGAGGCTCTTTATGTTGCCCCCCCCCCCCTCTGGTGGGTGGAGTGTATCACTGATGTCGGCCCGCAGTCGTCACATAGTGGTTGTCAGTCATACGCAGTAGATCCGCTCGTACTCGTACATGTTCTGCTGTCGTGAGGTCCTGATTCCAGTAGCTGTCCGCCTAGTCCTGCAACTGAGGCCAATGTGCCTAATTGTGATGGAGGTAATAGTGTGTGTGTGAGGGGAGTGGTTAGCCCGCAACTGTAAGAGTGGGTTGGCTGATATTGTGGCCAACCTTATCTCATTGTGGTCCCACGGCCTGATAGTACTCCCTCGAGCGTAGTTCCCGACAGTAAGTAGCCATGCGTAGTGGTTCCGCCATGCGCCCCCCAAAACATCGTGACGCTCTGTCTCTTGGTATCGTGCATCGCTCGAGGTCGCTGCTGATCTGCATCGCTGGGTGTTCCTCTCCGGTGTACGGCGGGACCTGAGGGGGGCCCAGTCGCCGGAGGGCATGGGTCCCGTGGGTCCCGAGGAGGCGCCCGCGGGGCCCCCGCAGCTTCCGGCGGCTGAGGGCCGCTGGGCTGCTCTGGCGGCAGGCTCGCTGTCCGCGGCGCCTGCTGCGTGGGGCCTCTGCTCTCTCCGGGCCCGCCTTCGGGCCCCCCCGGGGCGGCTCTTCTTGGCTCCCAGGAGCGCGAGCGCCAACCCCAGGGACGGTCTGAACACGTCCCCCCTGAGGCCTAGGATCCTCTCGCACTGGGCCCGATCTCAGTTCTGCTCGAGTGGTGCCGCCCTGCACGACGGCGACGTGTTGATAGTGTACATGACCTTGGCCATGCGCGGCGCCGTCTCCATCTCCTCGTCCGATGGCTTGTGGGCCTCCTGGATCTTGCATTGTCGGTTCCCAGGGCTGGTCCAGCTGCTCCATGAACTCCGCGAGGGTCTTCGTCGCGTGTTGCATCGGCTGGTCGTTGCCCTGCACCTTGATTTTGAGCGCCTCCACTATGCCCTCCACGAAGGCGGCAACGACGCGGCCGTGAGGGGGACCGTATCCGTGGCCTTTGCTTTTTGCTTCCGCCTTTCTGCCGTACTCGCGGATCGACGTTTGGATCCATTATTCCGCGAGGAGGGCCAGCCAGAACTCGCTGGTGAGGTGGGAGAGGTTGCGAATCTCTGCCGCGCTCTGTAGAGCCAGCCGCTGTAGTGCACGTATGCTGCCTCGTAGGTCTGCTTGCATTCCCTCCCACACCTGGGCCTCCACCTCATCATGGGGGTCCGCGACCTCGTCCTCCCCGGGCTCTCGGTGAGTTCGCTTGGCCGCTGCTGCCCTTGCCGATGGTGGCCTTCTTCCGTGGTCGTAGGTCTTCTGGGCCTGACGGCGGTGGGCGCATGACCCTCCATTTCACATGTTCGGCCATTGCGTTTGAAGCTATGGGCCGCCCCGCCTTTTGCTGTTCTGATCTGTTCGGGGCCCGCGAGGTGCTCTCGTATGTGCGGTTGGCACCTCTCCAGTGTTTGAGCCTGATGGGTACATATTCAGCATGTTAGTATATTGGGCTCTTGTATGGGGTAGGCCCCCTTGGACCTGCCCTGGTGGCATATCCAGTGTTTGTGGACCGATCTCGTGGCATGGTCGATCGTTGTTTCCTGTCTACGAACGTACTCTTGCACCACGGGCATTGGTTGTTGATTACTGCTGCTGTCACAACTGGTCTAATGTTTTTGTACCCCCCGTCGGTGCCCTGCAAGGGCCGCGTAGGTTAGACATCTCTATGTCCGAAAGAGTGTGTTCTACCGCTGCTGGCGGAAAACCCGGGGGGGGCACTGGGGGTTCCCAACCCGTTCCCCCCCCCCCTCGAAAATTGGGGGGGGGTCACTACCGGTTCGAACCTCTCCCCCCCCCCCGCCCCCGAGTCCATCATGAAAAGGGGGAAGGTTACTACCGGTTCGAACCCCCTCCCCCTTCGAAAACGGAGAACGGGCTCTTCTGGGAGTCCCCTCGGGGGGACAATTTCACAACAAAAGAAATCTTGTATATGCCGCCACGAAGGGAATCTCTTTGTACTCCCGTACAAAAGGAATTCCTTTGTATTCTGCTACAAAATAAATCCCTTTGTATTCCGCAACAAAGGGAATCCTTTTGTATTCCGCCACAAAGGAAATCCTTCTGTATTTCGCCACGAAAGGAGTTCCTTTGTATTCCGCTACAATGGGAATCCCTTTGTATCCCGCTACAGAAGGAATCCCTTTGTACTCCGCCACAAAGGGAATCCTTTTGCATTCCGCCACAAAGGGAATCCTTTTGTATTCCGCCACAAAGGAAATCCTTTTGTATTCCGCCACAAAAGGAATCCCTTTGTATTCCGCCATAGAGGGAATCCCTTTGTATTCCGCCACAAAGGAATTCTTTTTTGTATTCCGCTACAAAAGCAATCCCTTTGTATTCCGCCACAAAGGGAATCCCTTTGTAGTCCGCCACAAAAGGAATTCTTTTGTATTCCGCCACAAAGGGAATCCCTTTGTATTCCGCCACAAAGGGAATCAGGTCGCATTCTTTCCACAAAAGAGAAGCAGTTTGTATCACGGTAATTAAAACAATTAGAAATGCTTCTAATTCAGCGGCCAGGGGACCAGAGGTTGGCTGTTTTTTTTTAATTTTTTTTTAAATTTTTTTTTAATTCTTTTGAATTTTTAAAATAGAAAAACAAGGTTTCGCTTGAGACTCCCGCCAAACTTTTTAAATCCAGCGGGCGTCGCTGGCGTGAAATTCCGAGGGAGTCTCAAGCGAAACTTGTTTTTTTGGAAGAAAATAATTGCAAAATCAATGAAAAACAGGTTTCGCTTGAGACTCCCTCGGAATTTCACGCCAGCGACGCCC